ATCTATTTTTGTAGAAAAAAACCTTTAATCAATTAGTCGAGATTCAGAATACAACGATAAATCTGAGATAGGTTTTAAACTGGGTATAAGATTCCTAAAATTATACCTAAAATTATTCCTAAAATTATACCGCCTCTATTTACATACTAAAATAACTAATTATAAGTAATTAAAAAATGTATCCGAATAATTTTTGTTACCAAGAAAGTTATCCGTGAAACAAGACATTTTCTCGCTCAAAATGTCAATTTCATCGAAAAGCTTCGATGCAGCATGTTTGCAAAGATTTTCCAAGTTCACTTATCTTAGACGAAACTGGCAAATATAGGAAACCGGTAGAGTTTCACGCTCGAATTGTGATTGCGTGATAAGCGTCTGGACAGGTAAAGCTGAATGTAAACAAACAGAGCGAGCAGACGAAAAACAGCCTTCAACTTCAAGTTATTCTTATCGTTGTTTTTGGTTATAGAGATTGCTGCAATAAAATAACTGCGCTCTTACCTTCCAAAGTTAGAATTTTAGTCAACCCCTTTGCCCTTCCTGTGAACAATTTGTTGAATGTTTGTTTCTCTTCGCAAGAATCAAGTAAATTACCTCGGGAAATCTTCAATCAGTCATAAGAAAACAATTTGAGACGACAATATCGTAAAATATCGTGGTCTCTCTTCAATAGAAAAGAGTCCACTGGATCGCGATAAAAGCCATTTGTGCGCGTGTATGATCCCTAACAGATATTTTGAATCACCTGTACGTTTGGTGTGACCAGGTCTTCCTCTTGCCCCAGACGCACCTGACCCCTTGTACTTTTCCTTCAACCATTCAGTCATATCATTCTCGCAGGATAATAAAGGAACCATTCCTGTTTCGTGCGGAGCCCATGCGGTGGCACCGCACTGATCACTTACCCCTCCAAAGGAACAAAGTGCCATCGTGAAATTACCCTTGAATTTCTTACACCTGATAAAACATACCCGCGAAACGGAAGAAGAACGTGACCTCGGTCCAGTCCCACTCTCTCCTATGTCCAAAATGGCGGGCCAGTTGATTTTGCATCATCTCAATGCCCTGGCCTCGTTTGGTTATTGTATTTAGCAACACAAGTTTTTTGTTTCACTATCCAGCTCTCCTAACTGTACATTCCTTCTTGACGGATGGTTTCATTTACTCCGCTCTAGAGGACTCTGAAATAACGGGTCACCTCGACACTGCTATAAACTGCAGCTCGTATATCTCTACGTATATATCTATGTATGCATGGTCATGCTCCTTTACTGGTGGGTATTTACAAGAAATGTTCAGGCTGTTAACAGACATAGATTATATGCTAACGAATGCTTTCGTTAAGCTAACTTTATCTTGTAATCATAATAAAAATCAGGCCTGACAAAATATAGAGACTGTCCATACTTGGAGCAACGGAGAAGAATTATGACTTGAAACTGAATATTAATCAACGAAAAATTCAAGCATCGTTTAGAAAGGTCGTTATATCGAGGTAAGGCCTTCATCATTTATGGTATTTAATGGGTACTAGGTTTTCAAAGTACAAATTAACCCTTGTTTTGCTAAATCAGGGTATTTTTTGTGCTAATCAAAGGCCTTTAAGAGCAATTGTAAGGTATGAATCAGAGTATTTCTAAACAATTAAACTGATTTGGCTTTAACAATTCATTTTCACTGACCAAATACAGAATCAGGGCTTCATGTCAACAATTTGGTTTGTTTATGGCATGAATTATGCTCAAAATTCCATTTTGCATGACCTTATAGAGGCATGGAGTGTTTGTGACAAAAATTCAACAAACCGTGATAAGCCAAATTTTTCTCAA